TTCAGCTTTCATACGCATATATTGGATTCATTCTATCTATTATACTTTTCGAGTAAATCAATGAAAACACTGCTTATTCGAACGTTCTAATTTCAATTTTTCAACTTTGAACGCGTATTACAGCAATATGGATAAGAGCACAGGAATTCATCTATACTTGCTGGATTCACCAAACATTCAGCTTTCATATGCATATATTGGATTCATTCTATCTTATAGTTTATTATAGTTTTCGTGTAAATCAATAAAATGTGAAAAGATGTCCAAAGGGTTCGAGCATCATATAAAAATATGTATTAAGTGTGCTCCAAGAAAACGCCGAATGGAGTGATATGCAAGTGCACAAATACAATCATAATTGTGGTGAAATAGAATCTAAGTACTGGCCCTTGTTGATTGCTGAAGAAAGAGCGAGTTTTTCTTGGATAAGAATCCCACAGTTCTTATACAAAGTTTCCTCTCCTCTACTAAAATAACATAAATAATAGACATTACATATAGAGTTCTGTTTTCAATCAGTGTTTCGACAGTTGAAGATAAAATTGGAATTGTTTGTTATATTATTCTCTGATTTCTATACTTTAAAAATTGTAGGTAAAAACTAAAAGGCTTATGATGAAAGTCCTTTTTTTTTTTTCAAGAATGTTTACAAATTAAAAAAATTTCCAAACTTGTACATAAAGTTACATATATCAACAAGTATGCAAATTGAAATTTCATGTTCTAAAACTGATGCTGAATGCATCTATGGATAATCAGTTATTCAAATGATCTGGTCTAATTCAACTCTCGAAGTTCTCAAATTGCAAGAAAATAAATTCTCCAAACTTTTACATAATACATTTATAACCATTAACATTTATCAATTCACTACAAAATGTTTGTTATTTTTGTTGTTAAATTTCATTAATATGTCAGAAATTAAGTTTTTATTTTAGAAACTATCACCACTTTTTGAATGATCAAAAGGAACGGTTATATGTTTTTTTTTTTTCAATCACACATACTGTAGAACAAGTTAAATAAATAATTGATGAATTACATAGAGAAACATAAAAAAAAAACATAATTTGCTACATCTAAACTGTTGAAAAATTTAAAATCAATTCACGTTATTTTTGCAGCCCGGATCGTCCCATGAGGTAGTAGACCGGAAATAGGTCATTTTTCCGATGCGCGTTTAATGCAATTTCCGATTTTCCCCATTGTTTGGGGGTAAAACTGAATGCGCCTATTAAAAATGCAATTGACGCGACTGGTCAGGTCCGACTTTGATCAGTTAAAATGTTGAACTCCCTCCTGATGTTACTAATCTGATCAACAGGTAGCTCGGACGGCCTGGTATATGCACCGTATTCCGATATTAGAGTTTCCTAATTGGAAATTCAATCGACCTTACGTCCTTCGCATCCAACATTCAGCGTTCCGCTCTTCCATCGATCAATCATCCTGTTGCATCGACGCAACCATCTCACATCCCAAGACACGCCATCAATTTTTCATTCTTTTTTTTATTATTAGAATTGACATCGCGATATACTTGTAGAAGCAATTGCGATTTGATCTTAAAGTATTCGTTGTTCGAATTGCAAAAGAGTGATATAATTGCTTCTAATGTTACATCCTTTCTATGTGTGACATCTCTATCACGAGTACCAACTGCTATAATCAATTGTCATAGGACTACATGATAAAGTGTGTATATATCACCTATTTTGTGTGACACTGTGAGAGGTATTACTGAAATTTGTTACCATAATAGGTAATTCCAATTGAATAGTAGTTGATAGGTTTGAATAACATGTCGCATAACACAAGAAGTGTGAATACAGCTTCATAACAACTACTTCATGTGATAACACTATTATATGCTTGTTTCTAATGTTATATACTCGATATGGGATGTCAGGAATAACTATTATGTTTTAATGCCATACATGACTACATGATAATCTTTTCAATACATGTGATACGCGTAAATCTTTAATCCAATTACTACATATGACAATATTGTCATATGTCAAATTGTTAATGGTTCTCAAAGTGACAGCTGTCATCCTGTGTCAAGTAAACTAGAAACTAGTCTCTTAGAATTGTCAAATAAATATCAGTATACTGGACTCTGTGGAACCAAATGTAGTTATCATATCTTCATAACATTTTGCATTAAACACGTTAAAAATATAACAACAAATAGTAATTGTGTAATGACGACCACGCCCAAAATTGGAAAGCGTTAAATGACAGCTGTCACTTTGTGTTAATGCGAGGAACTATAATCAATTGCAACTGTCAATCGATTCATCGGTATCCATGATTAGTCATGATAGACATTGAATTATCATATAAGATAATACAGAGATAATATAATTCTTACCTGGCAATATGGAAATAGTCTTCAGTGCCCTAAGGACACGAAACGTCCTCAGACCTGCCAAATTACCGACGTCCATTCCGATGGTGGCGTAACCGCTCGTTATCACGACAAAGTCCAGCCAGTTCCAAGGATTCCTTAGATACGTGTACTTATTCAATATGAATCCTTTAGCCACACTCTTTATGATCATTTCCGCCGTGTATATTGCTAAAAAAACGAACCTGAAACAAATAACAAAATAAGAAATTGGAAAACTAAAAGAATTATTTATAAAGAAAAAGTTTAATAATAATTCAATTTTTCGTTAATTAATGTTTTCCTTTATTAGTCTAAGTAAGTGTTATTGTATACATAATAAAAACTGTAATATATGTAATATATACACAGTGTTATTGACCTGTATTTAAAAAGATGTTGTAAATGTGAGAAAAACTCGTAGGTTTTCGTGTTGTGTATGGAAGCATTCGACAAAATAAATATGGAAATGGGGTCGCAATGTGTACTCGTGCTTTATAACTCAAAACTTGGCTATTGTGGTGGTGCGAAAAGCGCAAATTCATGAAATAGGATTGTAACACAAACTGTCGGAGAAAATCATAGAGCCGATCGCATTTATAACTCGATGATTTTCTCGCAGCAGAACGAACCTATTCAAATGTTAGCTGCTGCTGTCTGTAATAATATACAACTCTACAAATAAATATAGTTTATTTAAAATAAAAAAAATACTTTAATATTTTTTTAACTTCATGTGAGAAATTTGAATTCAATTTTCTTTTATATTATTATATGAAATTTTAAACGCAAATTTTCCAAATGATTATGGCTTTAAAATGTATGTAGGTCGAACGCCTTCAGTTTTATATAAATTTATTTCTGTTTATTCGCATAAATAATCGTTAAGTTTTTCCGCAAGTATCGATAATTGTCGCAAGGAGCTGATTTAAAAAATCTAAGAAGAAACACATAGCGTTACATAAGAATAAATTCGTTTTATTGAATTTTATTTACTTGGATGTCAAAAACAGAAAATAGAAAGCATTTTTGGTATATTTTTCTTTTTTTTACCGAAAATGTAAGAATGATTTTAAGCAAGAAAATGTGTATAATTTTCATAAATATCAACGAAATTACTTTTCGAATAGTTTAATTATTTTGTTATGTCTACAATTTAATGTAAAAATCATCAATTAAAGCACGATTATTTATAATTTTTAAATATTAGCTTATTACAATTAAGGGGTTGTTGAGAAATTAACGAAAATCCAAAGACACTGGAACAAAATTGAGAAAACCGTCCTTTTTACAGCTCATAGCAGGCGACTCGATGATAGCACTAAGATGTAAAAACTAAATAAAAAACGAGAAAAAAAATGTTCTTCAGCATATAACAGGCGACTCGATGACAGCACTAAGATGTATATAGGCTTGTTGGAAAGGCGAGATATTCAGCTTTCATACGAGTGGTCGATGATGTAATTATCTTAAGGAAAGGTGAGATATTCAGCTTCACGAAAAACGAAACAAAATTAACGAAAAACTGAAAACACTGAAAAATTGTGACACTGTGAGATTGTCTATGAGATTAATTAGTTTAACAATAGCCTTGATAATCTTATAAGAATGGCGATGAGTAGAAATGACACATATCAATACAGATTGTGTACATATAATAAAAAAAGGTGAAATAGAATTGTACAACACAGCATTTTTTTTTTTAGTAATGTTTGTAATGTCAATGTTAACATGAATTTATTTTGAAATGTTTCAAAAGATAAGCGCGCAAAGGTAAAGCAAACGAATCCGGAGGACTGAGGAGACAGAATTCCGATAGCTGAAGGAATCGACATGCAACAGTATATACAAAGGAGAAAATACGATTTTTAGAACGGGATCTCGGAATGTAAAGGAAATGCATGTAACTCCCAACAAAATATTTCTTATTTTTCGCATTATATAAATAGAATTCTTATATTATTCACTTTGCTTTATTTTTTTTGGTGATATAAATCGATTTAGCCAATAATATAAGAGAGAATTGGAATACATTTGTATCGTCACTTAGCAATAAATTATAGTTTGATTGATATTTATACAACTTTTTCTTCAAATAGCTCAAACTCACTGCGTCTTAGCCGGGAATACCTCTTATATATGACGTGATCGAAGGTGCAGATGCCCACTAGTACTATGTGTACTGTGTATTGAGTATAGTCTTATGGAAAGTTCTCACGACAAGCGTATCGGTATTTGCAACACCTTCATAAAGCAATAAAACCTTTTTGGAGAAACTCTCCGGTTTCTCATATTCTGATAGTTTTTACGACTTATCTTTGTCACTGTCTTAAAAGGAGGATTATGTAAAAGTCGGACAGCCAACTATAGAAACTATGCCACCAACAATTAACCTCCCCAAACAATTGTTAGATTTATTAGATTTTATTTACGTTCTCTTACATATAAGACGACACTTATGCTATTTTAAGTTAGTCCTAGGAAGAACCTAGTCCTAGTAATAGATCTACTTTGTACTACCCTTGAACAGCAACCTATACTTGTAGCAACTGGAAGCTAGATTAACATACTGAAGCATCTAAGTGTTAAATAAATACTATTAAGTACACTGACTTTAATCTAGACTCATCCATTAAACCCACTAGGACTCCACATCGACAATACTACAAATTATTACACAGTGTCCAGAGATATTCCATGCTGGGACACGACAAGACAACGTATATATTTTGGCCGCTTGAGTCGCGTTTTTCCTTTTCGAAAATAATACAGCATAAAATGCCGAAAATTCTGGTTTTTTCTTCTTCTGTTTCACCCTACACAAGGTCACAAACTAGATAGCAGAATTGAATAAACTTTGCACTAAAATGTAGCCACAATTCTACACTACAACTATCGTTATGTCCACTGGACGTCAACGTGTGCACACGAAAATACGAACTTATGTAACAACCCAATACCAAATAGTAAGAAATTGGACGACTTTATAGTATAATTTCAATATATAAAAATATTGAATTTTAAGTTGAATAAAAACTACATTATTTTCAGTTAAACAATAATAATTATATTATAATAATAAGTAACCCTTTGCAACAAACTAATTTGGTTATGTTATTTTGTTAAGTTTGTTGTTGGTAATTTGTTGCAATAAGTAATTTGTTGCATATAAGTTGTTTGATGTTACTGATATACAAAAAATTGGATAACTTATAGTTTCAGTATAACAGTGTATTATACTATACTTTTATAGCTGAGGAAATGAAACTATTATTTCTTATATATATATATATATAATTACAAAACTTTGGGCACTAATTTGGAAAGAAACAGCGTAATTTTCAGGTGACGATTCACAAGTTGTTGACCTCTGATCCCCACATTCATTGAGATCTTTGCGAGGAAAACCATTTTTTTTACTACTTTTGGCGTGCTTTCCATACATTCCGTTTGCTGAGATTATTTTTCCTCTTTTATTTCCTCCCGTAACAACAACACACGTATGCATTTTTTTTTCCAAGTCATGCGAGAAATGACTGAGAGAAATCGAAATTAGATTTCGTACGTAGAGAAGAGAAAGGATAGAGGGGGAAAAAAAGAAAGAAGAAAACGCGGAACTGGAGGAAATATATGTCAGCCAATTTCATTTCCCTTCAGAAAAGTCGTCGAGATTTCCATTCATTTCTTTTGATATTCAATTTAACTTCTTTCTCTGCCACGGCTAAATAAATGGAAAACACAGTTCGCGGGATTATTAATACAAATCCAATAATAGATGCAACATAAACAAATTAAGAATTACTTAAACGATCCGGCTGAATACAAACGCTTTGATGATGGATCGTATTGCGAAATGTGTTGTTTACAAGAACAAAGAAGACTAATAAAATCCGCAAAAGCAAAGCTTTGTATTACGTCTATAAAACAGTATTATGTAATATTGTCTCCCTCAAAGCTCTAGATGTTATAAACTAAGAGTCTGGACGAAGTTACGAACTAAATCTAATAAGTTAAGAATCTAAATCAGCTAAAGTAGTTCATTGTTAATAATAGTAAATAAACGTTTATATAAGTACACATGCACTTTGAAACGGACTTTGCAACTGTTGGCGACATAACAGACGGTTTTCAACGTTACAAATGTAACAAGTTGATACCTTATTTATGGTTATTTTGGAGCAGCATCGTTTATTACACTTCTAGACAAGTTTGTAATCTGGACGTGTGCATCTGCATTTCTCAAGTGTCCCGAATAAATGCGGGGCCAGCTAATTTGGTAAATTGGTAAAGGAGTTATGTCGCAGATTTATGTAGCTCAAATGTGTACAAAAAGACGAAACAATGCTGCATTCGCTTACACAGAATTAAATTAACATTTATTTTGCTTTTGGTAATTGTTAAACGTCGTCACAATTTGTTTGCAGTTTATTATTCCAGTATTAATTCAACGATTTTCTTCACGTTTGTGAAGCGTTAGCATTTTGTTAGCATTCTTCTCTTGAAGTTACGTCAGATTTAATTTTACATTTGTAGTAATAAAAAAATTATAGGACATCAGGTATATTGGGAACTAATTTAACAATTAAACAACTTGTTCGGTTATTTCGATAAGTGGTAGATATAAAACAGTCGTGTTATATTAGGAAAATAGGGCACTTTCAGAAAATATGCTTTTAAATTTAAAATAAATCGGTGAGAAATGTGATCAATATTCCAGCAATTCCAAGCAAACACATATTATACAATCTACCTCAGTGATTGTATAATATGTGTCATGGACATGTCATCAATAGAGTTATACACAGTGACATGCAAATGGATACAGTTAAAAGTGTAATTACAAACGTTTGTCAAAGGTACTAAAACACATACATACTTAAACATTCTGCAGACTGCAACATTCTAGACTTACAACATTTATCTAATACTAATAATACTTTTGTGATTTTTGTCTTGACACTAGGATCACCGAGTTTATACAAAAGATGATGAAAATGAAAAATTTATAGATAAAAATAGATTTAAATTTATCTTTTCAACAAAATCCAATTGACACTTATTTAAATGCTGATAGATAGCATTATTTTAAAATCTCATTATTCACAAAGACTGGCAACATGCGCTGTAAACCATCAATATTATAATAAACAAAATATAAACGTGATCCATATATCAATCAAAAGTGTTTACAAATACAACAACAACA